TATTTAAAATATGCCATTTTATTATTGCTAAGTGAAGTATGTCCCGTTTTCTGCTATAATTATTTCTCAGTCAGATTGCAATGTCAGCAGTTACTGCCACACTCTTGTCAGCTTAAACACAAATGTTATCGCTTACTTTTTCTTGAAAAACAATTTAAAATGTAGGTATTTTGAAGTACTGGCCTTATACTTCATTGGAATAGATGTGTACAGCAATAAGCAGGTTTTCAAATCCAGTACTTAGTTTGTGTACAAATGTAATTATGTTCATTGTGTATATATTATACAATGAGCACATGTAATGTAAGTATTAAAGGCTACTTACTATTGTTTAAATGCAAATGTTCATATCTCATTTCTTTTTTATCATGTTAAATAAATGTTGATGTTCTTATATCACTCGCGTTAGAATTTTTGCTCTTTCCATCTAAAATGGAAATTCTGAAGCCCAAGAGACTTCTTGAAGTTAAAAAAAGGATCTATTAATCTTAGCATCGTAGACAACATCATAAAAGGACCTTTTCTGTCATCTAGTTAAACCCTCCCATGTCAAAGTTAAGGAACTCGAGGCCCAGAGAGATAAATTAATTTGGCCACAATCACATTTCATTTAATGACAGAATTTGGACAAGAATATAGTTTTCCTGACTTTTCCTCTTAAGGCCATAAGCTCAACACCACTGGGCAAATTTAGTGTTACGAAGTCTTCTACACCTGTTTCTGTTTGTTTCCAAGTTGTAGAAGCTAGCTAGCTTCAAGCATCTGCAGTCTCGCTCTTCTCGGCGGATTGGACCTCGAGAGGGCATGTAGGGTAGAGGGTCATTTCTCTGACATGAGTAACCAGAAACCATTTCATCATAAGTAGGACCCTCAGAGATCATTTTCGCTTTCAATTCATTCTTTGCAGATGTTCACGCTCTTCAGAATCAATTACGTTTTCTTTCCTCTATAATCTTTTGTCCATGCTATATATATTGTTCCCAGGGTACAAGGAAATTTGATGTTTTTGGATTCCTATATAAAATGGCTGAAACTCAATTGGTACTGGTCAGTCTTCCCTTTTTTTTTTTTTTTTTTTTTTTTGTAATGCTATATTAAAAGGACTTAGATTTAATTCAAAATGCAGATGTATAAAAATTCATCTACTCCCAAACAAACACACAAAAAGAAATGCAGATAAATACAGTCTATGTTATAAGAAGTGAATGAAAAGAGAGGCTAAAATGGAAGGAGAGTGTTTAGCTATCTGAATCCAAATAAACATGTTTACACGTATTAAACATGTTTAACCTTTATCTGAAGATGTGACATAAAAGTCTTCTCAAAGGAAATAGTCAACAAATTGTTATTTCCCTTTATTTACAATAAAGTCATTGTTGCAGATCTTTTGCCAGTGTATTGGGGGGACAGTTCTTTGTTTTTTGTTGGGGTTTTTCTTTGTTCGAATATTGTGTGTGTGGTGTATGTTTTGGCTGGGTTTTATTAAGCACATTGTTTAAACTATTTCAAGAAGGAAAACTGTCCCATACTGGGATACCTGGCTGCTTGGGGTTTGGAAAAAGCAGTCTAAAGTAGTTGTAACTCTTGTCAACATTTCAAAAAGCCAGATGAAAACCCTGTGTACAAACAGGAAGTCAGCCCAGGAACTTGTTACGGGATATAGTAAAAGGGACTAATAGTTCCTAAAATGTTTGAACTAGATCAATACTTTCTCACCTAAAGCTCACCTACCCAACTCCCCTTCTCTTATTGGAAAAGGGCTCAGAGAACCCAGGACATAGGGAGATCATGGTTAAGAAGGGCAAGTACTCCAAGTGGGGGGATCTGTCACAAGAGCAATTTCTCAGGCATAGGAACAAGCACCAAAGTTTAGTGCATGCCCTGTTGGGTTGACTACTCAGTCATCACATTCAAGTCCCCACAGCTTACTTGCCTCCAGTTTATAGAAAGTTGAAAGTCAAACTCCTGTGATGGTCAAAAATTAACCATGAGCGAGCGATCTGCAAACTTTTTGCTTGCACATCCCCCCAGATTTTTTTCTTTTCATTCTTTGAACCTCTTTATTTTTAAAATTTTTATTATGGTGACATTGGTTAATGAAATCCAGTAAGTTTCAGGTGTGCACTGCCCATATTTAGATTTTTCTCTGTCACCACATATTTGACCCCTTTAATCCCCTACTTACCTACCTCCTCCCTCCTACCCTCTGGTAACCACTAGTCTATTGTCCATGTCCATGAGTCTATTTGCTTATCCTGTTTGTTTGTTGCTTTTAGGTTTATATCCCACATATAACTGATATCATATGGTTTTCAACCTTTTCTCTCTGTCTTATTTTGCTTATCATGATTATCTCCAGGTCTATCCATGTTGTCGCAAATGGCAGTATTTCATCTCTTATGGCTGAGTAATATTCCACTGTATATATGTACCTCAGCTTCTTTGTACAATCCAATTAAATCCAATTAAAAATATCCAAAAAAATATTTTTAAACATATACCCCTTTGCACGTTTTCAATTTGACATCTACAACTTTTCATAAGTTAAAATAGATGAAAAAGGTGCAATTTTTAGCATATTGTAAATATTGCCTTTAAAAATAAAACTCTTAAAAGTTTATTTTTATTTTTTTTATGACATTGGTTAACAAAATCCAGTAAGCTTCAGGTGTACAATTTAACAGTAAGGCACATATATATTGCATTGTGTGTTCCCCTACAAGTTTTATAAAAACATTCAACAGAATCTAAATATTGCTTTGATACTTTAATCCATATTTTAAAAATGCAAACAAGTTTTTTAATAGCAAACTTTCTCTCCTTGAACTTATATTTCCATTTTACTTCCCCAATCATACTTGATCACAACAGTTTATGATTTGTCAAATTTAAGTATTTCTTATTCCAACCATCTCTGTGAAATCTTGTTGCTGGGCCATTGCAGTTATTTGCTTTCTCACCATCCTAGAACATTTTACACCCTGAGGTCCAAGAGCAAGATTCAGAGAGGTAACCTTTTCATGTGTAGAGGAGAAAGGAGCTAATGTGAAAGGGGAGCCTTGACCTCAGGAAGCTTGGGGGGGTAGTCTGTTCTAGGCAGCAGTTTCATATTAAAGATAACAATCTAGATACTGCATCCAATGAAATCGTCCTAGCCCTGTATTACCCTGGAAATGCTTCTGTGTACTGATTTAAAGACTGCTGCCCTAAAGTAGCCATTAAAATATCTGTAAGTTTATTGATTTATGCATATGTATCACTTTAATCATATAAAGGCTCTATATAGATTTAACACATGGCAGAGGAACTTATTATTGAACAAGTTTGAACAAGTGTATGAATATATAAGGAGTAAATCGATTCACTTAATGCAGAAACAAATTACTTCTTGCTATCCTAAAGTAATTTGGAGCTTTCCCAGAATTCTCTCAGAAAAAAATGGATGACATCTTTTATCTGTAGGCTGAAAATTAATCTTTGAAGTGTGTGGCTTGTATTGGTAAAGCAGAAACTTAAAATATTTTAAGTTTAACTTTTAAATTTAACTTTAAAATTTTTTTTATGGTGACATTGCTTAACGAAATCCAATAAGTTCCAGCTGTACATTTTAACAGTAAGGCATATATATATTTACACTGTATGTTCACTTCCTATAGTTAGATTTCTTTCTGTCACCACATATTTGACCCCCTTTACCCCATCTACTTCCCCCACCCCCCTCTCTAACTTTAATTTTAAAATAATTTACAGTGAAAAGTTAACCTAAGACATAAGGTAAAAGACTGTGTCAGAGGCAGCGGGGGAATACAGCAAGACTGTTTCATGTAATTCAAGCCAAGGACATTTAAGTATAGAACTCCCGAATTATGTTCCTCACAAGCTGACTGCCTCACAAGCTACTGGAAAATTCCTTATGTTCTCTATTAACCAGGTTCAGAAAAGCCTATCCGGTCTACTTGAGCGAGGACTCATCATTCCAGCTGCTTCCTAGGGAGGGGTCATTCTCAGTTCTCCCAGTGCTGGGAAACAGTATAGGCAGAATGGGGGAAGGGACCCTCTACCACCTCTGTTGCTAGGAAGCCTGAGCCCCCTGCAGACCCTTGTTACTGATTTGGGCCTTTTTGTGTACTGGTTGGAAGCACCGACTCTGGCACTAGATTGCCTGGGTTCAAACCCAGCTCTGCCACTTAACTAGCTATGTACCCTTAGACCAAGGTACTTATCCTCTCTATGAGTAATTTTTTCTAGATATCAAAAATTGGTCAACTAATTGTTATTATTACACTCTAAGGCTGTCATAAGGACTAAGTGAATTAATGTGTTGAGTGTTCTAAACAGTGCCTGGCACCATGTAAATGCTCCCATTATCTGTGACTAAGGGCTAACTTTAGTTTCTAAATTGATGAGGGCACTATTAATTACCTTGTTTGAGTAGTGTTTGTTTTCAAACTGGATCACAGTTGGGTAGCATTGAAATCACCTAAGAGGCGTGTTAAAATACAAATAACAGCCTCATACCTAGAGTTTCTAATTCCATCATTCTGGAGTATGTTGCAAAAAATCGAATTCTAATTCTAACAAGTTCCCAGGTGATACTAACGTTGATGCTCTGGGGACTACACCACGGGCACATAGTAAGACTGTGGAATTTTTGCTTCATTTTTGTGTAATGGTATAAAATAAGGGTAAATTCAGGAGTTTTTATTTACAAAGGTATGCACTAAATGTAGAAAAACTGCAACAGCTCAAAAGATGTTTCACCATGAGGCCCAAAGGGATGAGGGGTGGAGTTACTTGAGAGAATCCCTTACTCTCTTTTCAAGAGACAAAGACAGCCTTAGTGTAGGCAACCCTTCAGGGACTGAGCCGGAAAATAAATATTCTGAAGGCACTGCCTT